TATACCCGAAACCCAAACAACTTACCCTTTACCCGACCCGAAAAAAATTCGGGTTACCCACTTACCCGAAAAATTAACCCGATACCCGATTTACCCGACCCGATTTACCAGATACCCGAAAAAATCGGACGGGTAATTCAGGTAACGGGTATTTTTGACAGGGCTATCTTGTGTCGAGTCACGAGAGGGTAGCAAATATTGTTTGTGACCCATGGCACAATACAACTTTATCGATCAGCATCTAGGCCTCTCCTAGTTACCATCTTCATCCATAGATGATGGAAATGGTTAGGGGGTGTTTGAGATTGCTTATTTAATCTTTATTTTCTTTACCGATTTGGCACCAATAATAAAAAGATATTAGTGTTTTGAATAAACACTATAATAAAAAGATATTAGTATTTTCTTATAAACACTCATTGATCGAGTTGAAATAGGAGTTTTGAATAATTTGGTTTCTCTTTATTTATTTGAGACTCCGTATTTAAGTTTGGAACCTAATTACTTATTTACCCCTAGCTTAACCTAATAATCCATATATATTAGTGCCCTTTTCTTTTTCATGAAACGTTACCAATTTTTTTTTTCAAACGACCACTTTGCATCCGCAAATTTGGTTTCTTCTTATTTATTTGAGACTCCTTATTTGAGTTTGGAACATAATTACTTATTTACCCCTATCTTAACAGCTTAACCTAATAATCCATATATATTAGTGCCCTTTTCTTTTTCGTGAAATGTTACTGGTATAATTTTTTTCAAACAACCGCCTTGCATCAACGCATCATTTGGTTAGTATTTATTTCGTATTGTTAATTCTTAATATTAATAGACATTCACTCCTTTTAAGAAGCTAGAAATTGTTGAACTCACTTCATAAAAAATGAGTAACACCTTTAAATTAGTCTATCGAAAATAACCGAAACTCGAATTACCCACCCGACCCTTTTTCAATTCGGGTAAATCGGGTCGGATAACTCAGGTATCGGGTATATATTTCGGGTATTCGGGTTACCCTATTTTTTTAGACTGGGTATAGGGTTTCAGGTTGTGAGCCGGAAAGCATACCGGCAATTTGAGCCCGAAATACCCGATTTATTTAAAAAATAAAGTGTCCATTGGATAATATCCACACTTATCTATATGTTGTTTACGACTTTACCCAAATTCCCGATCATTTTTTTGCTTATTTATAGTGTTTTAATTTGCAAATCTTCAATCTAAAACAATGAGTAATATATCTATTATATATATTAAACTTTTTTTTTATTCTATCATGAGATTCGGCTTTTAAACTAAGATCTTTGAGTATTTGTTTTTTTAACCTCTTATTTTTTATTAGATTAAGTTGTCTCAAGTATTATTGACTAAAAAATGTCAATGTTCAAAGTTTGAATAACTTAGTTTATGCTTCGTTTGTTTATATAAATAAGACTAATAGAGCACGGGATTTACTTCATTACATTTATTTTCGTAAAATGAAAAACCCAAATTACCCAAAATCCAAAAAATTTACGTGATCTACACCCCTACTTTAAATGCGTTTCAAATGCAATAGGAGAAAAACTTTAAAATGAATGTAGTGTAACACATTTAAAATCATATAATATCATGTAGCATGTAACATCTTTAAATGTGTCTTTGCAGATTAAACCTCCGGATTTTTTTTTGTAGTAGAATTTTAATTTTGCAGGTTAGACCTATTAAATTGCAGATAGTCTCTCCCTCTTGTATGCCTTTATTTTTTTATCTTTATTGTTTATAACGGTTTCGTATGTTAGTTCTTTTTTAGTACTCTCTATCGCTTGTTCCCTCTAATTTATTTATACTCTCTATCGCTTGTTCCTTCTAATCTATTTCCTATTTTGTAATTTCTCAGATCCGTACATTTTTTTTTTCAAAAATCCTATCGAATTGTCTTAAATATACTAACTCCCAATTCCCCGAGTTGTAGTAAAGAAAAGAAAAGAAGAGAAAATAAATTAAGGAGGGAAAAGAAGAAAAAAGAAAGGAAAAAATTTTGTCTTTTGTGTTCCTGAATTGAAGAGAAGTGGAAGGAAAGTTAAACATTTTGTACTTTCTCTCCAAATCCTTCCAAATCGAAAGGAAAGTTAGGATGGAAAGTGATAATTTCATTTCCTTCCACTTCCTTCTTTTAATGGAACTCGAAAACACTAATTTCTTTTACTTTCCTCTCATTTTCACCAATTTTTTTTCTTTTCTCTCGTTAAATTGAATTCGGGAAGAGGTGTAAGACTTACTTTTCCCTTATTTGTACATTTTCCATTTTTTTTTCATTATGCATATGCATCACACCATCTAAGTAACGTAGTAGTTTCTCATCCTATGGGGATATGATTGTCATTTCTGATTTCTACATTGTGATTCCGTTGATTTGCTGTTGTTATTGCTATATAATACGAGTAAATACTAAAACTAAACAAAATAAATTGAGTATTGAAAAGTTGTCAACAAGCTATCAAAATCCAAAAATGGAAACCGTAGCTCATGAGCTCAGTAATGGAAACACCATCACTGCTGCTGACGGAGAACAAACCGGCTCCGCCTTCAAGCTAGTTGGCTTCAACAACTTCCTCCGAACAAATCCAATGTCCGACAAATTCTCAGTCAAAAGGTTCCACCACGTTGAATTCTGGTGCTCCGACGCCACCAACACTGCCTGTCGTTTCTCTTGGGGCCTTGGCATGCCCATCGTTCAGAAGTCTGATCTATCTACCGGAAACACAACTCATGCCTCCTACCTCCTCCGCTCCGGCCAACTCAACTTCCTCTTCACCGCTCCTTATTCCCCTTCCACCACCACCACTGCCGCCTCCATCCCGACGTTTTCCCAAACTGATTGCCGCAACTTCACCGCCTGCCACGGCCTCGCAGTCCGCTCAATCGCCATCGAAGTCGAAGACGCCGAAATCGCTTTCTCCATCAGCGTCTCCCACGGCGCCAAACCCTCCTCTGCTCCAATCACCCTTGGAGATAACGACGTCGTATTGTCTGAAGTAAAACTTTACGGTGACGTTGTTTTGCGTTACGTAAGCTACAAGAGTCCCAACTATGATGCCATATGTACTTTTTTGCCCGGGTTCAAACCCGTTGAAAATACGTCGTCGCTTCCTGACCTTGACTACGGGATTCGCGGCCTTGATCACGCCGTAGGCAACGTCCCGGAACTCGCTCCGGCTATAGATTACGTGAAATCATTCACCGGATTCCATAAGTTCGCCGAATTCACGGCGGATGATGTTGGTACGAACGAAAGCGGACTCAATGCGGTCAATTTAGCGTGCAATAACGAGATGGTTTTGATCGCGATGAATGAGCCGGTGTACGGAACAAAGAGGAGGAGCCAGATCCAGACGTATCTGGAACACAACGAAGGCGCCGGAGTTCAGCATTTGGCGCTTTCCAGTGAGGACATATTTGGGACCTTGAGAGAGATGAGGAAGCGCAGCGGAGTTGGTGGTTTTGAATTTATGCCGTCGCCACCGCCTACTTATTATCGGAATTTGAAGAATAGAGTTGGAGATGTATTGACAGATGAAGAGATTAAGGAGTGTGAGGAGTTGGGAATACTGGTGGATAGAGATGATCAGGGGACTCTGCTTCAGATCTTCACCAAGCCTGTGGGTGACAGGTAATATTATGTTCCTCACATGAAACTCCTCAGTATTCTTCACTTCCCAAATCCCACTTATAGCATATTGCATCATTAAGACTTTTCTGAAGTAGCAACCATATTTCTTATCTATACCCTAAATTTTCTTTACTTTTCCATTTTTCTTTAATCAATAATAATATTATATAAGTGGGAAGTAAGTAAAATTTTTTCTATCTTTTAGACCTAAAATCATAACGTTTACAATTAAGCAATAATAATAATACCTGATAATTAATGATCTTATAAATAGTAATAACAATAATAAATGGTTTTAAAACATTTTACCTATATAATCTTGGGGAAAATACAAATCTAATCAAAATCCTTAATTACTTATAAAAAAAATAGCAAAAAAAAAAACCACTTAGCCAAAAATAGCCCACAAATAGTCAACCTACAGTTGACTACTCTTTTCCGCAGTTGACTACTATTTTCCCCTAAGACTATTATTTTCCCCTAATGGGCTACTGTTGTTTCACGGGCCCGTTTACTTTTTCGTGGCTCATTAGCCAATGAAGCACCCGAAGAACAACCAGGTTTGTCTACTTTTCATTAAAATTTTACCGTGTTTGTGATTAGGAGTATGTTTTGTATATAGGTTAAGTTTTTTTTGAAAAAAATCGAAAAAAAAATATAAAACCGTAGGTTTCATACGAAACCTACGGTGTACAAGTGTCAAATGCACAGATTGTGCAATGTCGACTTGTACACCTACGGTTTCGTATGAACCGTACAGACTTTTTTTTGACAAAACAGTAAATTAAACCCCAAAACAGTAGATTAAACCCCAAAACCGTAGCTTTTTTGACAAAACAGTAGATTAAACCCCAAAACAGTAGACTTTAAAAAAAAAAAAAAAAAAACGTATTTTTTTTTCCAAAACCGTAGGCTACGGTTTGGGAAACCGTAGCTAAACCGAGAGGAAACCGTAGGTTTTAATAAACCTACGGTTTTGTTTCTTAGAAATGAAAAAAAAAATTATACAAAACACGAAACATTATGGAATTGGCGAAACAGTAGACGAATATAGAAACCTACGGTTTCTTGGGCTATATTTGGACATTTACTAATTTTTGGTTAAAAATTGCTAATCACTTCCTTAATTTGGCTAGATTAGTAATTACCCCTATAATCTTTTATAACTTTTTAATGAATACAAGTGATTTTAAAATGCATTAACAATAATAATGATTAATAGTAAATTAAAATTATAAGTTACATTTTAACTTACACATAATTGTTGATATTTTAAAAAATTATCATGGTCAAGTTAAAAAAAAAGTCAAATAAATAAGTTTTAAATTAATTAATTGTAACATTTCTTTAAAAAGCAAAACTAAATAAAAAATTAATTTTATTTTTATTTACCCTCAATTACCGAGTAGAAGTATTGATGTAATTATAATATATGTTTTATTTTATCATATAGATCAAAATAGTTATTGACCCCACCATCTAGGTAACTGAACCCAGATGAGAACATATCGCCAGATATTTTTTTTTAAACGACAAGATATTATTGAAATTAAAAAAAAAACAGTCAGCATGAAGCTGGACAGATTACAAAACAGCAAGGATCCGACATGGAGCCATGGATAGTTAAATTAACTAAAAAAAAGGGAATCAACAAACAACAAATAGAGCAAGTAGTAAACACCAAGAGGTCAAGCCGCATACAAGACGATCAATTTTGCCCCAAAATTTTTTCACCAGATCAGCAGCTACTTCACAATAAGTTGAGTTTCAGAGACCCGGTAATAGCAATGAAATCCAATCTTTTGTGAGTGGTGATGTCTTTTACGAGAGATACTATGTAGAAGATGACTCCCCTCTCCTTGTGAGAATGCTACGACACTAACATCAGGTAGTATCAATAACGAATAATTCACCTACTTGTTAAGCATGTTACCTTGCCACGTGTCGAGTACACCTTGTGTTGCGATTTCCCGACCGATCCAGAGAAAAGGCCATATGCTCATCAGAACCTCTGCAATGCAGCTACTTAGACATTATTTGAGAGCATGAACCTTTGAAGCCAGACATTTGCACCAAACGTTATAAAACCTGTAGAAATAAGAACACCAAGGAACATATGTATCCTATATATAAATATATGGTGAAAAAAGAGAACACACACCGAGATTATACTTAACCCCCCCCCCCCCCCTCTCTATCTAACCAACGCGAAAGAGAACACGAAGGAGAGCCTAATTATAGTGACACCTAAAATATGTCTACCCAATCAAAGATGTTCACACCAAACACACACTACTATAATTAGGCTCGACACCAATGACACCAAGTTTTACCCACATCAGCCCTAAAACCCCTTCCCCATCAATATACTGCTTCAAATATTGCATTCACTTACTGGATTGCAACACCATTTCAACCACCTAATTTTTTTGGCCTTGCTTCTGGAATTAATCCACATGTGACCCAGAACTTGAATTTCATTTGCCAGGTTACAATGCGATTTGTTACAGGTAGGGGTGAGCGCGGTGCGGTTATTAGCAAAAACCTCACCACTAACCGCAAATGCAGTTAATCCATTTTCAAAACCGCTTGGTGCGGTTATTTTTGCGGTGCGGTTAGGCGGTTATTTTTGCGGTGCGGTTTTGTTTTTTTTGTGTTGCGGTTATTAACCGCATGGATTTGGTGCGGTTATTTTGTGTGGTTTTTAACCACAGTTTAGAGCTCAAACGGTTTTAAGAGTTCAAACATATTACTTGTAATGATAAAAAAACTATAAGGTATAAGACAATTAACTTAAATCACAAACAACTAATATCTTAAAAACGTGAAATCAATAGTAATTAACAATAAATATCTTTAAATTGTCTAATTTCACCATTTTTCAAAGTTAAACACACTTTTGTCTTCTAGTATTTTATTCATCTTTCATCCATGAAACTTGCCTTATTTTTAATATTTAATATATTAATAATTAATTTAAAAAAATTGTATATAATATATGCGGTGCGGTGCGGTTTTTGAAAACTAATAACCGCACCGCACCGCAAATTTGCGGTTTTTGAAAAACAGAAAACCTCACCATCGGTTTTTATTGCGGTTGCGGTTTATCGGTTGCGGTTTATGCGGTTTTTGCGGTTAATTTTAGTTGCGGTGCGGTTTTTGCTCACCTCTAGTTACAGTTACAGGTGCCAGATATTAGTATCCGGATTTTCCATAGTATCAAACTAAACAATATAACTTTTTTTTGAACGTCATATTAAACTACTTTCAAATTATTTTTCTTATGTCCACAGTGGGATTTGAACCCTCAACCTTAAAGAGGGAGGACAATATCAGATACTGTTAGGTTAGAATCCCTTTAGTTAGACAATATATCTACCTAATTACATAATAACTAATAACATACTAACACAATTAACCATCACCTACCAACTTACACCCATAAACAACAATATACCACATGTCCGAAGCATCTTTTAGGTAAAATGACTTATAAGGGCAAAGATGTTTAAAAACGTTCAAAAAACATCATTAAATTTTTGTTTGTTTAAAAAAGACCATCCAGCTAAAGACATTATATAAAAAACACCAAACAAGTATAACTTTTGTTAAATCCAACCAAATGATAACAGGTTCTTATGGGTGAAAAGATGACTTGGATTAAAAGTTGCTTAGTTGGCATAACAATTAAACACATGGGATAGGAATGGATGACATGACATCTCTCTTCTTTTATTTCCTCCCAAACCCATTTTGACCCATTACTTGACCTGCCATTAAAATACTCAAACAAATAAAACTTCCAGCCTTTTTCCCATGCAAGGTGCAATGGAGATTCTCATTTTTATCGTAATGCAATCCAACTCTAAGACTAGCTGAAAGCTATATCAAGTAAGTAGATGTGTTTAAGATTGTTAATTTAAGCCTAGTTGCCTAAAAGATTCATAAATCAAGGGTAGAAATTGTAACATGCATTAAGATACGAGTGTCTGACAAGTGCACAAAAGAAAGTTGGAAGCATAGTCCCTGTATCAAGCTCTCCGTTAAGCTGCAATATTGGAGTTCATATGATTTTTGAGTGCAGACTGTTTATTTCAGTTAAAAAGAAGAAAAAGAAATCAAACCATAAAGCAGGGGCAGTTTGGTCATAAACTGTTAATTACCAAAAAAAAAAAAAAAAAAAACTGCATATATTCGAGCTGTATGTGTGATGAGCCTAAAGCGAGGGCAAATTGGTCTTTCTGAAAAATCAAAAAATGACAAAAAAAAACTGTATATAGGGGTAGTTTGGTCCTTCTCTACATCACCCATCTATATACAGCAACTGAAATTTGGAAATGCTTATCAGTTTCAAGATGCATCATTACAAACAAGCAAAGCAGTCAACATGACTTGCTTTTATTAAGAGCATCCTGATGATGCTGCAATAGTAGGGTTGCGGCACAACTTGTTGCCCGTTTACCCGCTACATTTATGTAAAATTTTCTTCTTTAACATGTTAAATATAAAAAAATAAAATAAAATAAAAAAATTTATCCATCAACACCACCATAATTGACTGTTAAAATCAATGTCCCCAAGGCTGTGGAAATCGATTTCACAAAGGGTTGCACTATGGAATGTAGGAACGGACCCTAGAGAGGGTTCTGTGTTCACTCCCTCCGGTTAAACAATTTTGAGAAAGAAGGCTATGAAAATCAATTTCTATTCCACTTAATCTACGTAAAACTAAAAAAAATGTTATGTCATTTATAATTTTTGTTTATTAATATGTTCAAATCATTTTTTGTTGTGATATGACGGTTACCATCCGGTTTATTAATATGTTCAAATCATTTTTTGAAAAGACAAAACTTTGATGGCCTTTTTTGAACATCTTTAAAACTTTCATTCCTTTATAATTCATATTCCTTATATTTTAACCCAAATTGATTCCGAATAATCAAATTGAACAGGGATCAGGATAGGGATAAAGTATCCCATGAGTCCTGGAACGTAAT